TACAGATGCAGAGTCATTTCAGCAGAGTCGGTGGGTTTAAGGTATTCAGAAATCAATTCTGCTTCTATGTATCAGTGACAAAAAATTAAAACGTAATTTGTTGAAAGATTCCACTTAAACAGGATCAGAAATATCGAATGCTCAGGAGCAGGTCTAACAAGAGATTAGAAGGACCTCTCTGTGGAAAACCAGAAGAAACCTCTGTCAAGACACTATTGACTGGGACTTCCCTGGTGGTCCCGTGGGTAAGACTCCATCCTCCCAATGCAGGGGGCCCAGGTTCGATCCCTGGTTAGGGAGCTAGATCCTGCATGCCTGCCACAACTAAGAAGCCTGCATGCCACAACTAAGACCCTGTGCAGCCTAAATAAATAAATTTTAAAAAAAGAGACATTATTATTATTATTATTTTTTTTTTTTGCGGTATGTGGGCCTTTCACTGTTGTGGCCTCTCACAGGCTCCGGATGCGCAGGCTCAGCGGCCATGGCTCACGGGCTCAGCCGCTCCACGGCATGTGGGATCTACCCGGACCGGGGCACAAACCCGTGTCCCCTGCATCGGCAGGTGGACTCTCAACCACTGCGCCACCAGGGAAGCCCCTAAAAAAGACATTATTGACTGAGACCAAATAACTCCTAAATTCCTTAAATAAATGGGGAAATATATGGTCATGGATTTTGGAAGTTTCCATGTTTAAAAACGTCATTTCCCCTCAAAGTGTAGCTATAGAATCAATAAATCCCAATCAAAATTCCAAGGTGAAATTTTTGTGTGAATTTTAAAAAAATATATCAATAGTTATGTATTTTTTAAAATAAATTTATTTTATTTATTTTTGGCTGTGTTGGGTCTTCGTTGCTGCGCGCGGGCTTCCTCTAGTCGCAGTGAGTGGGGGCTACTCTCATTGCAGTGCATGGGCTTCCCGTTGCAGTGGCTTCTCTTGTTGTGGAGTACAGGCTCTAGGCACGCGGGCTTCAGTAGTTGTGGCACATGGGCTCAGTAGTTGCGGCACATGGGCTTAGCTGCTCTGTGGCCTGTGTGACCTTCCCGGACCAGGGCTCGAACCCGTGTCCCCTGAATTGGCAGGCGGATTCCCAAACACTGCGCTACCAGTGTGAATTTGACAAGCTTTGTAATTTTATATGGAAGGCAGCGGGACAAGGATACTCATAACATCTTGGAAAAGACCGAGGGGGGCACTTGTCTGCCAGGCGTCTAGCTTGTCACACAGCCGTGTGGTATCACTGCATGGTGTACAAAGACCCATGTGACACACCCTACACACACGGACCACGGAGATGTCACTGCAAAGCTTGGGGATGGCCACCCAACGTCCACATGGCAAACAGTGGACCCAATCCCCACCTCACACCCCACACAAAAATCTACTCCCAGTGGATAAGCCAAGATGGAAAAGCGTCGTGGAGATAATACAGGAGAATATTTTCCTGGTCTCAGGGAG